TATGTGGAAGAGAAAAAAGAAATTCAGGTCCTTTCTTCTTATGACCCTTTGGGAAAGATGGAAAAGGTCTATTGATTTTTTACCATCTTTTTCTCCCTTACTGTCCTTTTGTTCTTATTGATTTAGTTCCATATTGATCTAACCCTTTGACTTCATCCTTTCCTGCTTTATGATGAGGGTTGTAAAGCACAGCCATTACGACTATAATAGACTTATTATTGGAAAAGACACTTTATTTTACAGATCTTTGCATTTTTTAAAATGCTGTTTGTAGGTAATTATATCCAAATACAGGTAGTCCTCAGGTTACAATGGCAGATGGGACCAGAATTTCCATCATTAAGTGATGCAGTCATAAAGCACGATGTCATGTGACCACATCACTTAGCAAAGGCAATCTCAGCAGTCCCAGTTGCTGTCATAACCCCAGGACTGTGCAGGTCATTAAGCAGGAAGAAGCAAGAGTCCCAGGCAAGGAGCAGTGTGTGTGTGTGGGTGCTACAGGAGGATGTGGGGGGGGGATGCCATGGGCAGGCACTAAGGATGGTGGGTGGGGTCAGTAGGGGCCATGGGTGGCGGGGGAGTACTGTGGGCGGGCGTGCACTACGGATTGCAGGCAGGCAGGGGGTGCTACAAAGTATGAGATCCCTGGCTGGGGAATTCTGGAAGTTGAAGTCAATACATCTTAAAGTTGCCAGCTTGTACAACACTGGTCTATACTAATTGTATTGATGAGCACAGTATCCTAATACTTGGATAAGCATTATTGTTGGCATAACATAAATTGCCCCTTTGGGGACATCTGTAGGAGAATAAAAAAGTCAAGATGGGGACTGCAACCATGTGATTCAAGCCACAGACCTTTTTACATTTGTAGCACATGCGATATAGGTTAAAGAAAGGGGGGCTTGATAGACACCTCTGTTCCCCTCCTCTATTACAAGTTGCTTAAAGCATTAGTGTACTTTGGCAGGGTAACAGGAAGACCCTCAGTTGTTTAGCTTCCAAAGGAATGCCTTGACATCATCCCCTGAATGTTTTTTTTTTAATTGCTCTTATTAAACCAACAGAGAAAGATCATCTATTGAAATTTCAGAGACAGAGTAAGAGGTATTAGATTTGTGGAAAGTTTGAAGCTAGGGAAAGTTTTTTTTCTCTAAACCACTTGCAACTCTAAAGTCATTTTGTTATTTTCAGAACATAAATTGTTAACCTGTTTTATACAAAACTTGCTTTGCTCTTCTCATCATATTAAGTATATTAAATGAAAAAGTATGATTCACTGAAAAGTGTAGTTGAGCGGGTAATTTTCCTACGAAATATCAATTATAATTTTCATATGTTATAAAATATGGTAATGAAGCCAAAAGGAAGTTTAATATATTTAATTCAGAACTTTCATTCTCGGATGAAGGACTACACAGTGTTTTTAAAGATCACGGTGTTTTTAAAGGTCCTACCTGATGGATCTCATAGACATATAGCAAAGAGGAAGAGTTCCTTCTGATTCCAGAACCTTAGATTTGCTCTACCTGGAACAAGGAAGGCCATCAGTTATTTATTTCTAATCTAATGTCTATAGGAATAACTGACTGCTGTCCATATCCTTCCACTTCCAGTGGTTTGAAGGTTAATTGGGATAGGAACAGATCTATCAACCTTTACAAAGAGCCTGCAAATGAAGAAAGCACTGGATTCTTCTTTCTTCTTTTGTGAAGTTTTCCTGGAAGCAAAAATGGGGTGGTGGTGGTGATGGTGATGGTGGTGGGGAACATACTATGTGTCCTCGGTATAGGAATTGTAGAGACTTACACAATGTATACCAGTCTACCTGGTATATTCATGGTATGAATACTTTGACAAAAAAAATTGTCTTTATTATGATAAATTGAAAAATTTCACTTCTCATGTTTCCCAATTCTTGGAAAAATTAAAAACAAATGTATTGGACAGACAGAATTGAAGGGAAAAAAAACCAATGAAGAAAACAGTACCATGTCTCTGTGGGCATGAGGCCGACAACTAGACACAAAGATTCAGGAGACTAGCTGTCTAATTCCATCTTTGTCCAACTGCAAGCACAGATACAGCATGCAAGGATTTCTTGAGGGAGACAGTTGATTCTCCCTTCCAATTCTCTGAGGAATTTATAGAAAAGATGGGGAATATGAAGCACAGCCAATTGGAACACAGAGAGACAGGACTTGCTCTCATAAAACTATGGCTTGGCTGCAAATGCTACAGTATGTAGGAGTGCCATTCCAACTATTCTATCATACTTTTTGGAGAAATCTGCAAATGTTCGTATATGAGAAAGAATGAGAAACTGAACATGAAACTCTCACCCATCACTACAAACAGGTAATCTTCAATGAGAGGAATATATTGTATTGAGAGAGAGAGAAAGAGAGAGAGAGAGATGGCATGAAATTGTTTTCTGTATCTTTCAGGCTATTTCTAACCACATATTAAAAGCAGTTTCAAATTAGCTGTATCATCTTGACCTATCCCATTAGGTCATCCCTATCCTAAGCTGATCCCATTAGCTGTATGATCCTGACTATCCCCCCAAAGAATGCAGTCAGTTCTGTCATTGAAATAGCACTCACATCAACTTATAACTCAAATTTCCTCAAATCAATATTTCTAGATTATACAATATGACAATATTGAACTGTCCTTTTTTGTTTACTGCAAATAATGTGCCAGACAGTATATACCTGCATTCAAGATCAATTACTGCTATGGAAACAGGATGCAGTGAGTTTAAATGCAATTACCATTTATTTTGCTTTGCTCTTGACACATAGGGTTAAATAGAGCAGAATGACTGGTTGAAGCAACTGAGAGTTGGCTGGATATGTGATTGTTATGTTGAGTGTACAGCTATTTAAAAGAAGCTGCATGTTATTCCTGATATTAAAGCAAGTACATTTGAGTCTAAGCTTGGCACTGTTGCAGGAGCGAATTTGTAGATTCTTTTCCTTCATTTGGGCTTAAAATCCAGCAATAAAGATAAATTGGCATTTCCATTTGTAGACTGCTATAGTTTGGGAAAAGAATGGCATAGTAACAATTATATAGGGAGGGAG